GAAAAAAAAAAAAAAAAAAAAAAAAAAAAAAAAAAGAATAATACTTCCAACATTTGCAAAATTCATAACCAGAAATTAAAAGCATATCTCTAATTTAAATTGCCTTACTGTAAACAATGGTATAACCAGACCTTTAAACAATCCAACAGTATATGCTTATTACCTCTGAAAAATTCCTATTAAGCCATGCAAAGCACACAAAGAGAAATCTGCAACTTACAAAGTTGTGTGTTGTGAGGGGAACATGATCCAGAAAATCTACTTGAAGTTCTTCTCCAATCAAAGAGGCAGCATCAGTATTCCAATCTAAACGTGCTTTTTTACTAAAGAGGATTTTTAAAAACATAACATGAAAGAGAAATGTTTAAACAAGGTAAGAGTTCAATACGAATAACAACAACAGCTACCACTATGGCCTGCTACTTAAACACGACTTATTTACATACAACACTAACTTATTTAATTCATACAACAAACCTATGAGTAGGTATTATCCCTATTTTAAATATGAGAAAACTGGAGCCCTAGGAAGGCAACTTGCTCAAGGCCACACATTGAGTGAAAGAAACTATATTGGAATCCAGCTCTGTTGGATTCCAAAGCTTGTGCTCTTAGAATAAAGTTTTTTTGCTTTTGTTTTTGTCTTTTTTTTTTTTTTTTTAGCAGCTGGCCAGGATAGAGATCGAACCCTGGACCTTGGTGTTATCAGCTGAGCTAACCGGCCAGCCCTAAAGTTTTCTTTAAACAAAGAACTATAACAATCGCACGATAAAATAAATATATATTAAATTGGATTTTGTGAAATTAAAATCCTATAAAAATCCTAAAATCCTGTAAAATGGGTTATAAATATTGCTACAGTACCAACAGTTAGTCTTCAATAGCCTGTTCAATCTAGACGATACATGAGTAGAAAGGAACCACAAATTAAATGCACTTTTCTATTAATAATAGACACAAATCTGTAGAGTTGTTTGCAGGGTCTATTAATATAAGTCTATGGGAGACTCAACTGTCTTAAAATTTACTCTGAGACCATTCTTTCTATGCCTAGAGTAAACAAGAAAGAAAAATAGATACATTTAAGTAAAAATTGATGCCCAGCTCCCTTCTCATGTCTTATCCAGATAATCTGGCCCATTTCCTGAAGGAAGAATATTCTCAGGTAAGGAGAAAATAACACATATATAGCACCATCCAAACCTCTCCCATCACCTACAAGAAACCTATTCAAGCCATTTTCCTAGTTATCCAACAGTAAATAATCCACCCCTTAATACGAGGGTACTACAAAAAGTTCATGAAAAATAGAATTGAAAGATAACATGAATCATTCTGTGAACTTTTTAAAGTACTCTCATATAATTCCCTATATGAGATTTGGGAAACTCTGTATCACTCCAAACTCCTATTTTGCCATAATGAAGAGAGGGAGGAGAAACCCTATTTTCTGGTCAATCTTCAGATGCTCTCCATCCTAGAGAACTCAGGGTAGCTCCAAATCAATGCAGCATTGGAGGGGAGTGGACCAAGCCCCTCACTTTCTCAGAATCTCTCTAGTCCTTAAGGAGCACTATGGATTGCCTTGGAAACCAACTTGGGGCTACATATAGCTAAAGCCGGCATCTGCATCAAAGATTTACACTTCAACAAACTGCCTCCTAAACTGAGAGAAATAGACAGATTTAAGTTCACCCATCTGAGTAGACTTATTCCCTGGGCTATTCTCTCAAACTGGGGAACTCCTTGAAACATGAAAGATGTAAGCTTAAGAACAAAATTCCAAGAAGAGAGTAAAGTTAAATGAAACTTCTGAAAGGTTTTCCCATTTGTGGGGCGGGGGAAATAATGGATAACGGATAATTATGTACAGCTCTGCTGCTATGGAGTATTGCTTCTTTAAGGAGATGCCTCTATCTTGCTACTGCCATCAGAAATAAGATGAAGGGCCGGCCCGTGGCTCACTCAGGAGACGGCGGTACTGATAACACCAAGGCCGTGGGTTCAGATCCTATATAGGGATGGCTGGTTAGCTCAAAGGCTGAGTGTGGTGCTGACAACAACAAGCTAAGGGTTAAGATCCCCTTACCAGTCATCTTTAAAAAAAAAAAAAAGAAAAAAGAAATAGGATGAAATAGGAGTCTTTCCCGAAGCAGATATTCTCCTGCATCTTTTAGCCCCATGTCTATCAAAAAGCAGGGATTCAGTACCCATTAAACTGAATAAAAATGAATGAGTGAATGACAACAGTCATCCTGAGGACAGCAGTCTTTAACTAAAAACAATAATGCAAACACTTTCTATAATAATGCAGTCCACTCTGTATTATGCATTACAGCAAACACAAAGAAAAAACTTTGCTCTTAAGAAACATACCACCTAACATTACCATTTTCATCCATGGAAATGCTATCAAAACTTAAAAATGTATTTTATTTTTCAAGAGAATGTCCAAGCAATAATTTCAAGTTCTTAAGAGCCTGATTTTTCTGAATCATCTCTTTATACACAATATTCTGTAGTAAGCTAGTACAGTTCTCTTTAATGGAAATACAGTTATTATTTGAAGCCAGGAGATCCTTACTAGTCTAAAGGAAGAGCTCACTGACTTTGTGGTTCTTACCCTTTGTGTTCGTGGAGAAGTCTGAACACTGCACAGCACTCTGGTTGCAGGCCCCTCACCTTGAGTGCTTTCATAAGGCAGTCATGTAAGCTCATTCCATTTCGCACATTGACCTACCAAACAAAGGACCACCATTAGGACCAACACAAGCTGTAGCACCCCTTGGAAAGATGAGCACAGAAAAAAATGTACTAGTCTGTACTAGGTAGAAGATTTATAACAGTACTGTGTGTAATGGTAAACACACACAAACATGCACAAACACACAAAGGAAACAACCTGAATGTCCAGCAATAGGGGAGTACTTGAATGAGGTATGGAACATCCATATTATGTCACATTATACAGCTACTATATTATTTATAATGAACTGGGAGGGGGGGGGAGTCCATGATATATAAATTGGCGAAAATATTTTTCAAAATAATTCAAAGAATGAAATGACTTAAAACGGGAAATCCTATATATGTTTATATATGTTGTATGAGTGTGAAAAGATATTACACCTAGCTGTTAATATCAAGAGATAATGGTTGGGAAAGATAAAATGATAAACTCCCTTTATACATCTCTAATTTGTTTGACTCACTGAAATGTACATACAAGCATGAAAATCCACAACAAAGGAAAATAAGCTGATCTGATTTATAAACAAACATGACTTTTTATGATCAAAAATTTGTATTTCAACCTATTTTCAACAAAACAGTTGATCTTCCCAACAAAAATTCCATCTCGCATGCACTTCACACTAGCAAGGGCAAGCAAGAAGTAGAGAAAATGAAGCTTCTGTCCTGCTGTAGGGACAAACAGCAAGGTTAAATATATGGGCACATCATGCCAAGTAGCCTTTAGTGGCATATGACTGTTCACATTCCCCTGTACCCCATCCTCAAAAGCTAGGAAGGTACTCGAAAGCCTAGTTGGAAGTGTAAGTGCCCAGGGTACTATTAATAGCAGCTGTATATAAAAAAACAAAAAACAAACAAACAAAAAACACCTAAGGGCTGGCCGGGTTAGCTCAGTTGGTTAGAGAGTGGTATTGTAACACCAAGATCGAGGGTTCAGATCCCTGTACAGGCCAGCCACAAAAAAAAAAAAAAAGCCACATATGACTGTTCACATTCCCCTGTACCCCATCCTCAAAAGCTAGGAAGGTACTCGAAAGCCTAGTTGGAAGTGTAAGTGCCCAGGGTACTATTAATAGCAGCTGTATATAAAAAAACAAAAAACAAACAAACAAAAAACACCTAAGGGCTGGCCGGGTTAGCTCAGTTGGTTAGAGAGTGGTATTGTAACACCAAGATCGAGGGTTCAGATCCCTGTACAGGCCAGCCACAAAAAAAAAAAAAAGCCAAAATCTTAGCCAAGATTTCAAAGCCAAGAAGTTAATCAAAAGCAAGGCAGTTAGAGTCAGTATGGCCAGCAAGAGGAGCAAAATGTACATCTGGAGTGCCTGTGAACTGCCTATAGTGGGGTTCCTCCTCTGGCTGAAAGTGTAACAGCTAACAGTGGCCATCCCAGCCCCTTCCCAGAGAGAGGTGAGTATGTATATATATGTACACCAGGGGTGGGAAGGAAGCAAAGTATGTACGGCTCCAACAGGACCAAAGTTCTTATTCCTGGCTCTTACTCTTGCCATCGCAATGCCAATCCAGCCAATCTTTCTCTGGCTGACATAGGATAGAGAAAAAAGTCTTAAGACAGAGGTGTCTGGTCCTACACAGTTACTAGATTCAAAAACAGGGCACAGTATTTGGATGCAAAGTGGAGATAACAAAACAATCTGGGAGGGATGGGAATGAAGCGAGCCTTAGGAATTTGAAAACATCAGTGAGGGGCAATGTAAGAAGGTTTTCACAAGTCTTTGTCTTGCTATTATTGGCAACTGATGGGGACTTCTCTGCCCAGTAATCAATTTCTGAAACATAAAGATGGGCTCCACATTTAGAGGGTAGAATACAGAAAAATCTGAACCTGTAGAACAGGTAAATTCAGGAGGTAATGGGAGTGAGGAAGGAACATTCTCCTGGAGGATCAGTCATCTGAGAGAAAGAAAAGGGGTTTTTGCAAACTACAACAGCTCCTTTGGAGATTGTGATAGCCTCCTTGGCTTCTGATGTTTAGTCCTCTCCTTCGGATATATGGAAGAGAGGAAAGGTCATGAACAACAGGGTAGGAGGGAACCAACTGATTCTTCAAATAGATACACTTAACCACTATGCCAAATTAAGTTTCCCAGCCTTCTAGGCAAACCAGTAGTAAGTGGGGATGGAGAAGATAGTTTCAGTAACAACCAGAAGCAGCACCAGATGGTCTTCAGCTCCCCGTAACATTCACGCTTCTTACCCTAACCTCTCAATTTAATGCCAGAAAGAAAACTAATAAGAAATAAAGAAGTAAAGTGAGATATACTGATGTGAACTATGAAGATAAGACACTTTAAAACAGTAGGCAAAAATCACTTTGCAAATTAAAAACCACTGTTCAAGGGGATTATTATTATTTATTTTGCCAGCCCAAAACATTCATTTTTTAGGAAGGGGGACAAAAATAAATTTACTCAAACTTTACCCTGGGCCTTTTGAGTTTTGTAGTCAGATAAAAATGTACCTGAGTATCCAATACTACAATTGGGAGGCTCCTTAGGTTCACGAAAGTATAAGGAAATTTATTAGCAAACTGTAGAAAACAGAACTCTTACAAACAAAGAGAAAACTCTGGATTGGACTAACCAACTTCAGAACCTTGCTTCACCTGAGTATACAGAATAAACACAATGTACTGATTTTACACAAAGAATGGAGAGTAGGAAAGGAGGAGGTGTGGAAGTTTTGAACTAAGGTTTTCTCAAACATCCCACCAAGCAAAATCAGTACAACTTCACTTTTCTGTTTCAGCCATGTGGTTTGGGGTTTTTTTGTATTTGTTCTTTAAATCCAGAGTAGCAGAAAACTTTTTTGAGCAGTAAGTTCTTTTTAAAAATTGGGGTTTTTGTGTCAGAAAACCCAGTGACACGTCATGCCATGATGCCAACATAAACCTGTCACTAGTACTTCAAAACATACCATGCAGAAAAAACTTGCTGGTGCCACTGCCCTGGAAAAGAAGATGACAGTGTGATTGATTTCTAAGCTACCTCTAGATTTGTCCTGGGCCTATGAAACATCCCAAAATAATTTTTTCTAAGTAATTTTATTTTGTTCTTTATACTTGATTTTAATATCCAAAAAAATGTAGATGAACATTTTATATCAGTAGTCAGGAAAAATAAATGTCTTCTTTTTTTAATTAACTAGAGAGGTCTAAGGGAACTTTTCACAGAAAAGTCTTTGAAATATATCCCAATAAGAACGTACCATTTATTTAGATGAAGTGGCAGAAAGGAAGACATTCTAGGCAAGAGTAATAGTAGAAGGAAGACCAAGATGTGGGGGGGAAAGCAAGGGGTGTGGAAGGAATGGCAATATAAAGAAATAAAATATGCAAATGAAAAACCAATTAACAAAGACCCTAAATGACAATGAACATTTTGCCTGTAAATTCAGCAGCATGATCCGTAATGTTTTCTACAGGCAGACGATTAGCTAAATTTCCTAAGAGGAATGTTCACTTACCACTGTTCTTTGCTTGTTCGGCAAGAAAACACGGATAGTGTTGCTTGTCTTAGAAGAATCTGTGAGTTTGCCATCATCTGACGCCCGGCGCTGATAGCCAAACTGCTGAACTATCGTAGGGGAGATGCAGCTGGAGCCATCAAACACTGCGTCTTTGAATCCGAAACCATTGCTGATCGTCTTCCAAGCCCCCTGTATGTGCTCCATTGATGCAGCTTAAACAATACTTAAACCTGGTAAGAAAGACAAATAATTATGATTCTCGAACAAAAGCACTTAACCCAGGAACACAATATATAAAAAGTAATTAATTGTGAAAATAGCAGTACGTGGGTTTTTTATAAGTGATACTTTCTGTCTAAATAAATTAATCAGAAAAGAAAAACTTCTATAATACTATATTTCCATAAAATATTTCATAGACAAGTCAACAATGAGGAAAATGATAACCAGAGGTCAAAAGATCAAGGGTTATACTGCCAGTTAAAAGCCAGCCTGGAACATGAGCCCAGATCTTCTGACTTTTAGTCTAATACTTTTTCAATTTCATCTCTCCTCTTCTTTGGTTATTGTATATTAAGTATGAGCAACTACACTTGAATTTAAGTAACTGACAGGTTCTGGACATGACTGGCGCCATTTTACACACACAGCATAAAATGGCCACCAGCCTTTCCCTTACAAGAAACCTCATGGTGGGCCGGCCCGGTGGCGCACTGCTACAGTGGGTTCGGATCCCACATACAGACCGGCCGCTCACTGGCTGAGCGAGGTGCGGGCGCAGCACCGAGGGTTGCGATCCCCTTTGCCGGTCCCGGTCCGGTACGGGCGCGACACTGAGGGTTGCGATCCGTTGCCGGTCACGAAAAAAGACAAAAAGGAAAAAAAAAAGAAACCTCATGGTTTCTGAGAAACAGAAACTCTTCCACACCAGCACCAAACCCCTCCCTGATTACGTCAGCCGTCCTTACAGTCTATATAACCTCTCCCACCCCCACACCTGGTGCTGTCCTCCATTTTGAGGGCAGCCCTGGCTGCTCTCCATTTTGAGTGAAGCCCGGCAGATTTTTTCCTTTAATAAAGCTTGATCGGTACCCGGTGTCTCAGCTCACTTTCTTTCATTTTGGTGCTGAAACCCAGGAAGGGTTCTGGCCGATGTTCTTGGATGATCCCCACCTGGGTTGACTGGTCCTCAGCCACCCTTCCTAGACCTGCCAAACTGGGTACCTCTGGGACTCTCTCCTTTTGCCATTTCAGACCTACGCATCTAACATTGGCCTCAATTCAGGGTGAGTCAGTGGGTCAGTCCTACCTCCACAGGTTCCCCCAACTCTCTCTCTCTCTCCTCTCGCTCCTGAAGCCCAGGTGCCTGGCCGAGGGAACCCCTCTCATGCCCCCCAGCTATTGGAGGACGCTCCTCTAGCCAGTTGGTGGCTTCTCTCGAAAAGAAGGCGTGCACCAAAGAGGACACTCCTTGGTGTTACCCTTCTTCTATTAGGACTGATCGCCCCCTTTCTCACCCTCTAAATGGGATCTTCACAATCCAAACCACCACACTTTACTTCCCTGGGCTGTCGCCTGGCCAATTTACCCCTTGGCCTGCAGGGAGACATTAAACCTAAACATCTCGTTTTCTATTGTAATCGAACGCTCTATGCCTCCTGGCTGTCTCCTGGCCAACCTCTTGGCCTCCAGGAAGACACTAAACCTGAACGTCTTGTTTTACAATCAGGTTTGGCCTAAGCACAAACTAGACACAATGGATCCCAGTGGCCACAAGATGGCACTCTCGATTTAGATACTCTCAGAGATTTAGACAGCTTTTGTCACCAAAACGGCAAAGTCGGAGAGATTCCTTATGTTCAAGCTTTCTTCCATCTCTGAACGCATTCTTCTCTCTGTCGAAACTGTCCTACGTCTCAAATTCTCCTAGTTCATGCCTGACCTCCCCTTCTGGACTCAGATCAATCTTCTGATCCGTCAGACCACTCTGCTCTCCAACCACCTCCTCATGCTCCAGATCCTGCACCAGCCCCTTCACCTTTTCTCTCTCTCCCTCCTACCTGGTCTTGAGACTCTCGTCCTCAGCCACCTAACTCCTCTCCTTCTCCCCCTTCATCAAGTGACAACCCTGCCTCAGCTCTGGCTCCACTATACCCCCTCTGTGAAGTGGCTGGGATGAAGGGAATTGTCTGGGTCTATATCCCCTTTTCTCTTTCTGATCTCTCCCAAATCAAAAAATGACTGGGATCTTTCCAGTCTAATCCGGACACATATCTTAAGGAATTCAGATATCTCACCCAGTCTTTTTTTTTTTTTTTCCTTTTTGTCTTTTTTCGTGACCGGCAATGGATCGCAACCCTCAGTGTCGCGCCCGGACCGGGACCGGCAATGGGATCGCAACCCTCGGTGTTGCACCCGCACCTCGCTCAGCCAGTGAGCGGCCGGTCTGTATGTGGGATCCGAACCCTCGGCGGGAGCGCCGCCGCGCTCTCAAGCGGCGCACTATAGCAGTGCGCCACCGGGCCGGCCCTCACCCAGTCTTATGATCTCACCTGGCATGATATTTTTCTGATTCTCACTACTACTTTGTCCCCCGAGGACAGGGAGCAGGTCTGGATCACGGCCCAACAACAGGCAGACAAGATACATGCTCAGAATAACAGACGGACAGTGGGAGCCACTGCCGTCCCTTGCATGGACCCAGATTGGGACTACCAGGCCAGCAGCCATGGGGACTGGTATCTCCGGGATAACATGATCACACACCTACTTCACGGCCTCCAAAAGGCTACTCACAAATCGGTCAGTTATGACAAGCTTAGAGAAATCACACGAAGATCCACTAAAAATCCCAGCGAATTCCTAACCCGTCTCTCTGAGGCTTTACATAAATACACACGTATAGACCCAAACTCCCCTGCAGGCATGGCCCTCTTACACTCTCATTTCATTACCCAATCAGCACCCGGTATTCAAAAAAAAAAAAAACTAAAAAAATTGAGGATGGTCCAAATACAACCCAACGAGACCTCCTCAATGCTGCTTTCAAGGTTTTTAACAATAGGGAGTAGGAGGAGAAGAAAGATCGTTACAAAAGAGATCAGGTCAAATACCAGCTCCTGGCTAATGCCATCTGTGGCTCACATACCACAAAGCCAGCTGCCTCAAGAGGCAAGGCAGCCGGGAACTGCTTCAAATGCAGTCAACCGGGCCACTGGGCATGGGCCTGTCATAACCCCAGGCCCCCTCCTGGGCCCTGTCCTCACTGCAAACAGCCAAGTCACTGGGGAGTTGACTGTGCTACTCGCCAGAGAGGGAGTGGCCCAGTCCCTAATCCACAACCTTTAGCTCCACGGCCATCCCTACCAGAGCTTCTTGGCTTCACCCAAGAGGAGGACTGACAATGCTCAGGGCTTGGGGCCCCCACAGAGATTACCATGCATGAGCCCAGGGTAACTCGCCTCATAGCAGGTAAGCAAATCCCCTTTGTCATTGATACAGGGGCCACTTACTCTACCCTTCCTAAATATGCAGGACCAACAACCCCATACTCTATCACAATAGTAGAGGTCACAGGATCAGAATACTGCCCACAGATCACTCATTCCCTTTCCTGCACTCTACATCACACCCAATTCACACACAAATTTTTAATAATGCCTCAATGCCCAGCCCCCTTACTGGGACGGGACATTCTTTTCAAATTCAAAGCTACTCTTACCCTAAACACTTAACTCCAGCTACAATACTCCTGTTACAGGCCACCCCAGACCTGGCCCCTGAGGCTTTCACCTTCCCCTCATCCCCCCCCCACAAGGTTAATCCTGTAGTATGAGACACTTCTTCCCCTTCCATTGCTATGCACCATTCCCCTATCCTTGTTAAGTTGCAGAACCCCTCTTTGTTCCCTAAAGTCCCACAATACCCTATCACTAACAAACACCTAATAGGCTTAAAGCCCATCATACACAAACTTCTTTCTTCTCATCTCTTATGGCCTACCCACTCACCTTTTAATACACCCATCCTTCCAGTTATAAAGCCTAATGGCTCATATGATTTATTTCAAGATCTCAGGGCCATTAATGTGGCCATCTTACCCATAATCCCAATTGTTTCTAACCCCTATACTCTTCTATCCATAATCCCAACAACAACCTGTTTCTTCTCTGTACTTGACCTCAAAGATGCCTTTTTTTCTATCCCCTTACACCCTTACAATATGTGGATGACCTCCTTCTTTACAGCCCCTCCTGTGAGGATTCACAGGCCCACACTGTTGCTCTCTTTAACTTCCTGGCCTTGGGCTGGCCCGTGGCTCACTCGGGAGAGTGCAGTGCTGATAACACCAGGGCCATGGGTTCGGATCCTTCTTATTTAAAAAAAAAAAAAATTCCTGGCCTTCAGGGGATATCAAGTGTCCCCCAGCAAGACCCAAATTTCTTCTCCTTCAGCCACCTATTTGGGAGTCCACCTCACCCCCAATACCAGAGAAATAACAGTGGATCGCAAGAGTTTAATTTCTGAACTCCCTACTCCTACTACAAAGGGTGAAATCCTTTCTTTATTGGGGCTTGCAGGATATCTTTGCCTATGGATTACTAACTTTGGCATGCTAGCAAAACCAATTTATGAGGCAGCCAAAGGGGATCCTGCCATTCCCTTAGATTCCACAAAGCCCATTCATTCTCCCTTCCAGCGATTAAAAGCCGCTCTCCTCGCAGCCCCAGCTCTATCCCTCCCAAAACTATCTCATCCTTTTATCCTATACGTCACCAAAACCCAAGGATTGGTGGTCGGGGGTTTTGGGACAAGAGTCAGGAGATATTTTCTCCCCGGTTGCATACCTCTCTAAACAACTAGACACCACAGCCTGGGGATGGGCCCCCTGTTTACGGGCCTTGGCAGCAGCCGCCCTTTTAACCCAAGAAAGCTCTAAACTAACTTTTGGACAACAAACAGTCATTTGTTCCCCCCATCATCTTTAAGACTTTCTCAGCCATAAGGCCATGTCAGTTCTCTCCCCTTCCCGCCTACAACTCATCCACCTTACCTTCATCGAAAATTCCCAGTTCTCCTTTAAACCTTGCCCTCCCTTAAATCCAGCCACTCTCATCCCAAAACACTCACAACCCTTAGAACATAATTGCATGGAGGCTTTAGATCTCTTTCTCAATCCCTTTCCACACATTTCCCCGCATCCCATTACATGGCCCCAACATACGTGGTT